GACTAAGCTTCTAGCTAGTGAATGATGGTAGAATTGAGTGGTCTGGTAAATAAGAGATTCTGTTTTATCTGAAAAAGCTCATTTATGCCATGAAGTATGAATGATTGTTAAAGAATGAGAGCATACAAAACTGCATGCCTGTGATAATGGTGGCATCTCTTTTAGCTCTACATCCTGTTAGCAAGAAAATAGAGACTTTCTACCCCTTTCCGGTATATATAAAAAAAAAAAGACCGTACCCTTTTATGTAATGGTGTTTACTTTGAATTTATATTAGTTCACACAAACACTCCATCCATGCTTTTGTTCCGGCCCTCCGGTCCAGTTTAAGAACCCATTGTGGCTCTCGAGTCAAAAAGTTTGCCCACCCCTGGCTAAGCTCTCCCCTATTTTTCTTCTACCCTAATTCCTTCCTTTGCTTCATTGTCCCAAACATTAATAAACATACTCACAAACCCACCTGGACTCATGTTTTGAAATCTTTCTTACAGGAAGTCAAGGATCCACACACTGCCGGCCAGCCTGAGGCAGACCTACTCCAGGAGGCCCCTGTGCTGTACACAGTTGGAGCATCATCCCTCACACCAAGGGTCTGTATAGGAGGCAGCCAATCAATGTTTCTCTCTCCCTTCCACCCTCTAAAATTAATTTTTTAAAATTCTTGTGTGAGGATTTAAAAGGTAATACAATGAAATAAATTAAAATAAAAAAGAAAATATTCTCTCCACCCTTCTGGAATGTCAAGAGTTATATTGTGGGAACCTCCTAGTCTGGATCATAAACGCCATGGAACATCACCAAGTCCCAGGAGTACTAGCAGAAGAATCAGAGTTATAAAATAAATGCTTCTTATCACCAGCCAGCTTGGTTTATATCTGTTCAACAGGCACTCAGTTAAGCCCTTTCAAATGTATTATCTCATATAATAATAGATATTGAGTGATGAGTGCTGAGAAAAAAGTCACAGAAAGATTTGAGTTTATTTGAAGTGGTTTTTATGCCCCCCGCAAAAATAAAAAATCTAGTTCCATGATATTACACAACAAGCTTGTATCAAATAAAGTTACAACCAGGATCAGATTCTTTAAGTAACAGACACTATCACAAGTCAGTGGTCTTAGGTCAGAGGAAGTGGGGGAGAGGAGCTAATGGCCTGAAACACTAGACATGCACTTTGAACCTCCCTTTCATTAGATTAGACCCATCTTGAAATCATGTACCACATGTACATCATTGCCTGGCAAACTGAAAAAGGAAGACATAATTCTTGCTGCATAGTAGATATTCCTAGGCTAGAGATACAATGGAATGAACCACAGTCACAAGCCCTGGTAAGGTCTTGCCTTGGTGCTGACTGGTTGTATAACCTCCAAAACGTGGCTTGTGCTTCCTGAGCCTCTGGGCTCTCCCTCATAAAATAAAGGCATCAGCAGGCCCTCTAGCTTTCTGTGCTGCTAACCCTGAACATAAGTTTTATAATAAATATTTCGTAAGTTTGACCACAAAATATTGTTTGGTCTTACTCTCTATTTCTATAAAATCTTACATTAGAGAATCAAATATTTTAATGTTTTATAGAAAACTAGAGGCCTGGTGCACAAAATGTGTGCACAGGTAGGGTGCCTAGGCCTGGCCAGCGATCAGGGTCGATCTGTGGGGTGACCAGTGAGGCAATTGGGACCCCCGCTCACACCCGCCTTGGCTGACCTGGCGCCGCCCACTTGCTGGCCCTGGCCCCACCGCAGATGCCAATGGTCAGGGCCTGCGGGCTGGGGGCAGCTTCTGAATTGAGCATATGTGCCCTGGTGGTCAGTGCGCATCATAGCAACAGTCGTTCTGCTGGTCGGTCCACAGTTTGGTCAATTTGCATATTAGGGTTTTATTATATAGGATCATAGCATTAAAGAGAAAGAATACTTCTTCATTTAGCTTAAAGGAATCCAGCTTTGAAACAGGAGTTCTCTTGGCCACATTTTATAATACAGATAAATGTACACTTCTTTGTATAGGACCCCTTTCATTAACTTCATATAAGAGCCCACTGAAAACATCTCTTTACAATTGTTTTTAGGGGAGAGCACAGACACAGTCCCTCACTACCACAAAGTATGTAGTCAAGTTTCCAACATTTAGGGAAATCGAGTCCCACCTTGGGAAAACCAACTTCGTAATCATGGTATCTCCCTAGCTAGGTAAGTATCTCTTTTTACAATTTCAATTTTTAAAAAGTTGGTGAGAGAGAGAGAGAGAGAAAGGGAGAGAGAGAGAGAGAGAGCGCGCGCGAGAGAGAGAGCAAGTTTCCTGGGGAAAAGTTAAAGGTATAAAGGTAGTATTTTTCTGGGTCTGTTCAATCTTTCTGAATCCTTCATTCAATATGTGTATGATAACTTTGTACTAATTCCCTCATGAAGAAAACATTATGAAATTCAAGAAAGAAGAGATGTCTGGTTGCTTCTCTGAGTTGCTAATGCTGTCCCTGGGAAGTCACCTGTCAGAGAGACAGTGATTCACTTGAACATTTGCCACCTTCATCTGGGATTCCATCTTCATTTTTGATCATTTTTCATGTCGCTGTTATTGTTAGGTTCTTTTACAAAATCTGCTTTATGAACTGTTATATGGACAACACATTGCCAGATCTTTAAGGAAAAGATTTTGACCATTTGTTACTATTCATTGACTTGCGAAGCTTAAATATTCTTTGAGAAATAATTTAATATTCTTATTTTTAACTTAGTACTTTGCTTTGCTTTATGTTTTGACTATTTACACATGTTTGAAAAAATTTGACATAGAATTTCAGTTGAAGCACAAAAACTAAAGCTACTTAAAACTCGTAGTACAACATCCCTATACCTGGCTTCCTTGGATCAGTTGCTGATATAAATGCCTGGTGGATACAGATGAGGACTATATGAAATGTCAGGTAGAAGACTCACTAACCCCACTGTCACTAACTATGGTTGACAGTGGTTGAGACCAGGGAAAGTTACTTAGCTTTGTTTAAAGGCGTATTTATTTTATTTTCTAATAATAAAAATATGATCTTAGGAGATAATTTTGAGAATACAAAAATGTATCATCAATTTGCTTTGAAGCTATTTTGAACAAATTAACATTACCAGAAGCATTATATAAAAATTCTTTCTCAGAGTATTCCCTCCAACATTGGGAACTATCTTCTTTTAATTGTCAATTTAATCAGGTTTTATAATTTTAAATGTCTAGTTTTGATTACTTGTGAATTTAAATGTGATTTAATATGTCCATTTCTTCTTTTGAGAATTTCTTGCTCAGCTTTTTCTGTTGTTTCTTTGGGGAATTCTTATCACTTGGCATGGGTTCTTTAAGGCTATTTTTAATGGAGATAATATTTAGAAGCTAGTAAATCAAATAATTTTTATTCTCAAAGATCCCTACTTCCTTGTACTCCAGAACTTCCAGTTAGAGTGCACCTAGAGGATGTAGAAACTCATAGGTACTTATACTATGGACTTTGGAGAGAATTCCCACCTTCACTCTCCATCTGAGAGCTAACCCAGGAGGCTTGTTGCCATAGAATTAGAGGATATGACAAGAAGTATGGAAGAAGCTTCCCTCCCAGAACAAGAGGTACACTAGTACAGAAAGAAAGGATCGAGCCGTGAAGGAGGAGGAAGATGGTCCTGAGGTCTATTCTTCCTCCAGGCCCTCAGTGATTCACCTCCCAGAGAGTAATGCTATTGTCTTTAGAAATACACAGGTAGGTAACACATGTAATTAGACCAGAAATTTACTCATGTTACAGATATAGGAAGCGATCATAAGCCCCTTATTTTACCTACAAATACTCTCATCTTCACAAGTCGTTTTCCTTTTGTGCTTTCTGCCATCTCTATCTTCTATGATCTCACAACCTCAGACGTGCTGAGTCTTCATAGTGATCCTAACTTTTCAGAATCCTCCCCAGTCTCCACTGAGGAGTGGTTGGGTTGGCTGTTCCGTGGACTAGTGATTGTTGAGGGTCCCACTTAGTAGTTTGAACTTAATGTGCTGGCACCCTTCATGGGAGTCCCTGATTCTTGCCATTTGCCACTGGTTTATAAACCTTTGCCCCCTGTGGCCTCTTAACCCGATCCAAGTACCTTTCTGTTTCCTCCATACCCACATGGCACCTCTGTGTCCTTTGCTGTACATGCATAAGCTGGTGGGAACCAGAAACACTTCCTGAGTGTCTCTCTCACCATCTAATGTCACTTCTGTGCCATCACTCCAGTACCATGAGGGAAGTAGCCATGAGTATTACTTCTCCCAGTATATTGCAAGCCACTCACCGCATGGTCTACTCCACAACTTTTTGGATGTTTTAAATCTGTTCCTCAAGAAGTAGACTCAAGGGATGTGGAGATAGCGTAGGAGATAGTGATTGATAATTTACAAGTCTACCTTTACTTCTTGTATCTTCTTTGCCATACCCACAATTCCTTGGGCTAAAAGGAGTGCACATACCCTTTCTTTACAAATATTTCCCATTTACTCTCTAGGAGTTTAATATTTCTGGCTGAATATTTAGGTGAAGTGCCACCAAACAGAAATAAGACTTAACAAGGGCAAAAGTAACATCTCTGTTTCATAATTAAAGATAAAGCCCTAACCGGTTTGGCTCAGTGGATAGAGCGTTGGCCTGTAGACTGAAGTGTCCCTGGTCATGGGCATGTACCTTGGTTGCGGGCACATCCCCAGTACGGGGCGTGCAGGAGGCAGCTAATTGATGTTTCTCTCATCGATGTTTCTAACTCTCTATCCCTCTCACTTCCTCTCTGTAAAAAATCAATAAAACATATATTTTTTAAAAAAGATAAAAATCATATCCATCATGTTTATAACAAGTATTGTGCTTAAAATGTCTTTTCATTTTCATCAATGTTATTATGAAAATATTTTATTTTTATGTAAAAAATATAGGGATTTTTCTTTATAATTTTAAAAAATATGTCTTGTATGTTTTTTAAGTCATCCAATCAAACATCAGAAGAATGTTCATATAAAGTATGTATATCATTTTATAATATTACTTTTTATATAAAATGTTTAGTATAGCTAGAATTTATTTTAATATATGGTGTGAACTAAAAATCAAATATTATAATTTTCTAGATAATCATCTATTGCCTGCAACCATTTAACGAATAGTTCTCGATCTTCTAACAGTTGTTTCCTTTATCACAAACAAAATAATTATGAATGATGAGGTTACCTACTTTGTTTTATTTATCTGTTGATTTTTTACTAGTATTCACAGTTTGTATTTTAAATCTTTCTAATACTAGGCTCTCTTTTTTCTTAGCAGTTCTTGCTTATTTATTCTTTCAAATGGTTATTGTGTTAAAGTCTAATAAAGCTAGCTAATATTTAATTAAAATTACATTAAACCAAAACATTAATTAGATATTAATTTATTTCTTTGGAATACTGTTTTGCCATCAAGAAATAAGGTATGTGGCCATGGCTGGTTTGACTCACTGGCTAGAGCATCGGCCTGCAGACCAAAGGGTCCTGGGTTCAATTCCAGTCAAGGTTGCAGGTTCCTCCCCGACCAGGGGCCCTGGTCAGGGTGCGTGCAACCAACCAATGCGTTTCTCTCACATTGATGTTTCTCTCTGTCTTTCCCTCTCTCTCCATTCTCTCTAAAAGATCAATGGAAAAATACTCTCAGGTTAGAATTAACACACACACAAAAAATATGTGTTGCTCTGTGTGTACTCAATAAAATTTCAGTGTTTTTTTTTCTTTTGTGCCATATAGTTCATATAATGGTTGATTCTAAATATTTAAAAGTTTATTGACATTTTATTATGACTTACTATTTGATTTTAAGTGATTATAGCTAATAATCTGTCGATAGGTTTAAATATCAGGAAAGTCAAACTGGTTGCCACATGTTGGTAGTGAAACTCTTAAGAAGAAATAGTTGTAATAGAACTTCAAATCACACAAGCCAGGCAACCAAAGCTTGTTAAACAAAGTCATTAAGGCAAATGCCCACTCAAAGCCCACATAGGAAGCCCTATAATAACTCCATTAAATGTTATCTCTAAAGAAAGCTGCATTCATTGTGCTTAATTTACCTCAAATGCTTTTCAGAATCAGCTCCCCTGTGCTGAGTTTACGGGATGTGGAAGGTAAGTAGTCCTTGGGGAGCATATTGCAGGTTGTTATAAGAGACACATATCATTTTAAACTGAACCTTCAGCATCTGTTCAGGCTCTGACTACAAATGACGAAACTGACAATAATTTACACTTACGCCATAAAAAGGAAAGGTGGTGATTAAGAAGAATCTGTGATCTTTAGTCAATGCAAACCACATCTGCTGTGCTTCCCCTCCTACCTGGGCGTCTGGGAGGAAGTCTCCCGTTCCCAGCAACAGGGGAAGGGGGCCTTCGTGCCCTTTGAGATCTCTGCCTCAGCTTCCATGCTTTCCTTCTTTCATCCTAACCTAGGTCATATTTTTCATCCTAAACCAGATAAACTCTCTAATATAAACACTTACCAGGAATAGGGTTTAAAAATGTGGCTTCAGTCATAGCCCACAGAAGGACTATAATAGAGAGTTTCGCCTCTGGAGGCATGATACCAAAGCCATTCTCATATGCTGGGCTGCTCACCACCAACATATGCTTTTCTCCAAGTTCATGTTTTGCATTTATGTCCGTTTCAATGATAGCATTGGGTTCAAACCTTTGCTATATCTTGGAACCGTCTGAGGAGTTTAAAAATTACATTAATGCCTGGGTCCCTGGAGTTCTGATATTGTTTTCTAGGATGTAGTCGGAACAATGGGTCTTTTGAAGATAGCAAAGCTGGAAAACCATGGCATGAATAGCAGCTCCCTGACCAACTGACTTCACTCTTGTTGCTCATCTGAGATATTTTAAGATTTTAATCATCCAACTAATTACTACTTTCAGTTCGCTATTCTTTCCCCTTCTTCACGCTCACTGCAACCTTCTCAGGTGTACATCTCATGGCATCAGATACTTTGATTTACCTGCTCATTGACTGCACTAGACCTAGTTACCTAAATAACAGCTATATGGCAA